GCAGGAAATACCTTTGCTGTGTGCATCACACTGAAGGCACACAGAAGTAGACTAGCATAAAAGAAAAAAATGTCTTACAGGAAGACATGAACTGTAGGTAGGAGAACCTGGCACTGAGGGAAGGCAGAATAGGCCTCTGTGCTAATTCATGTGTAAAGCAGCTTCCAGTAGCAGCTGCACTCAGTGCAGAAGGTCAGATGTGACAAGATACAGTGCTGGGCTGATGGATTGACTGGCAGGCCTAGAGGGCTGCAGGGATACCTCATGTCACAAATACAACTGTAAGAAGGCAAAAGAGTGAAATGTTTCTAAATAACAACTAATTAGTGCCAAGAAATCGTACTACGAGAAGTACTGCACTGTCTGTTTTTACAGCTGGGAAGGGCAGGGAGAGGGAGGCAGCAAAGGATGGGGCATAGCGGATAGAAGTCTTAAGCACACATTTTTGGGAAATTGATGGCATGACTGGTCTTTTTAAGCCTAGCAAAGTTACTTTATTCTCTTCCCATTGTGCTAGGGAAAAGAATTTTTACCATCCTCACAACAACCTTAAGGCTTTTTTTAGTTTTCTAGCTGCAAGACAGGTATTTCAAAAGCACAGAGCATAGTCAGCTGAAGAAAAAGTAAAATATTTAACTTAGGTATTTTATCAGAAGAAGAAGAGAAAGAGCTCTATTCTTGCAATGCAGCACAACTTTAATAACATCTTCATTTTGATTTCAGAAGTCGACAGAACAAATGAAGAAAGTACCAACCATTGTCCTGTCTGTCTCTTACAAGGGAGTCAAATTTATTGATGCCACAAATAAGGTATGTGCAATTACTCAATGTTAGCTTTTATTCCTCACAACTAGGAGAAATAGGAATACCTTTGTGGCTGCTCTGTAAGAGCACCAGGCCGGAAAGGAGACAGATTTGGACTTTGTGTTTTCTTCTCTGTTTTTTTTCTCCTCTTCTCTCCAAAATGGATGTAATGTCATTGTCATTTGCCAGAAACTCAATCTGGAGGACAAGCAAAGCAGCTTTAATTGCTTATTTGGAGAACATTGTGTCCAACGTTCTGCCATTAAAAGGCAAGCTTATCACAAAAGACATTTGGCAGGGAGCCTCTGTGGAATCCTTTACCATTTTCTACTCTATACAGTTCCTTAAATATGCAGAATATATATATTTTTTTTTTTTTGCATTAATACAATTTTTTGGGGAAAAAAAAAGAGATGTCTCAATGAAGAATAAAGATGCAAGAATAAGAAGCATGAGCCTTGAATGTCCTTTTAAAATGCCAGAGCCTCTCTGCGAGCTGTTTTTCTAGTAGTAGCCATTTACCTCCCTGAACTGCAGCAGCCTCTTAACAGCTGTTATTCCATATTTTTTTCATCTTCCTGTGTGGCAATGCTCCTGTGCTTTGTTTCTTATGTTTTAAAACACATTCAAAATCTTAAAAATAAACTTAACCTAAAACTCAAAAGCAGAAATTGAGAGATCAGAGAACTCAGTGACAGATAGAGCAATGGATTACTGCTTAACCGAAGTGTACAAGCTCTGTAAGCAGGAGTAAAGTAATACATGAATTTCTCTTCTTTGGATGTCTAAAACGGCAAGAAAATGCAGTCCATACTGATGCTTTCATATGAATAGAAAAGAAATTCTTTCCTGTTATGTGACCAAAACTCACTAAGCAATATAAAAAATAAATCTGACAACCCAGCTATCTGACCAGGTTAATAATGTCTATAGCAGCTTTGTGTTGCTGAACATTCAGACCACACAGTACACCTAACCCAGTATCTGTCACACTTGCCAAATCAATCAGTTTTTGAAGGTGTTTAACTAGAACTGGGTTTTAAGTGAAGGATGGAAGCAGATTTGTGAACTTCTGCAAGAGTGTGGAAGCACATTCAGAGTTAGAAGATGGCATAAAAGAAAAAGTGAGGTGAAATTATTGTTGTGTCAAGTCTGGCATATTTGCCAGAGCAGAGAGGCCAGGGATTCCTGTCAGCTCCTTTTTCTCCCATTGATTCAAAACTGAGCTTCTACAATCCTCATTTCCTTTATGTTCTCTGATGTGCAGGGCATAAATCAGGACATTGTAATGCTATTAACGCTAACTTGGATAAGGCTGTTTTCAGCTCTTAAATCTCTGTAGCATAAAGGATCTAACTGTGATGTCCTTAGGTTTACCAAAAAAATCCAGAGAACAAAAGGAGCTTCCTGTGTCTCTTTGCACAGTGCATAGAATCTTATATAAGATGGGAACTTGAAAGAAGTTTGGCAAATTGCGTTAGATGACTCTAGACAAGTCCCACTGAAACCTTATGCCTAGTAGTGCAATGGATGTATTTGATGGAGGTAAATAATGCCAGAGTCCTGTGTTTTTTCTCGAGTGGTAGATTGCTTTCTCTCCAGTTCAAAATCTGCACTGCCTTTCCCTTCTGTAAAAACCAGGTAATAGCCTGCAACTCTCCCAGAAGCGTTGTTATCATCCTTGTCCACAGTGTGCTGTTTCCAATTCCTTCAAGACCCAAAACAGATTAGCACTAAGGTGAGATCCTATTCAGACTTGTACTGCTTCCGTATGAGCTTATAGTTGACAGCGCTGGGCACCACTTAGCAATAAACGCATACTTTTTAATGACAAAAGTAGCTAGCAGTTCTGTGCTTGAAAACTCAGCTCTCATGGCTGTTCATCCTTTTCCTTTATGCCACCAAGCTAAGAATTTGTATTCTGAGTCGTAGCAGGCAAAGTTTCAGGTGACGAGGGGGCCCTGACCTCATTCCACGACAGCTATTTCAGTGGCGCCTTGAAGCTTGGCATGACACCACTTTGACATGACACCATTTCCTTGCAAGCGAGGCCAGAAAGAAATTGCTGCTTAGGAAAAAGCACACTTGCAGAATTTTCTTGTGGCTCACAACTCACCTTAACTTCTGGGTGATTTCCGCCAGGAGGGAGATTGGCTGGTATGAGGTAGGCGAGCACAAGGAAGATTGCTTAGCAAAAACCTGGTCTCTCCAAGGTATTTCCTTGGCAGAACCATAACTGGCTTTCAGCTTCCCTGCTTTTTGAGAAGCGCTGAAGGTTTCTCTTGCCAAACTGAGAGACAATTTTTAGAACAGCTGTACAGTGTCAGTCAATGCTTGAAGAGCATACCCAGAACAGCAAGGTGGTTCACAGCCTTCTGCTTTCTACAGAATAAGACTGTGGGTCTACTGAGGTAGTGACCCTAGGAGACAGTGAACATATGCATTGAAAACGTGTTTAATTTTGAAAGGAGATCAGAGCGTTTATCCTGTAGTAGCTAGGGAAAAACTCAATTTCACTACAAGTTTTCATCCAGAAGATTTAGTTTAGGTATACTTTATTTTATTCAAAACGAACTTGATATATGTATATTTCCAAACTTCAGTTGGTTTAAAATTGAAACATTAATCTCTGTGAGTTTTGACTCAAGTACAAATCCCTGTGTCAACCCCAGGTCACCTAGAAAAAGATTCAGCATAGCAGAGCTCTTTTCACATATGCTGCATAAATTCAGGTGATTACATTGTGGCTCATGATTTGGCATAAATACTTCACATATGATTTTAAGACCTTCCAAGCTTTAATTTTTTCCTGCTTTCTGAACTACAATGTTGCCAACACCATATCAATGACAGTTTATTCTAGCTCTGTCTGTGGGTATCTAAATCACTGGTTTTAGTATCATTCTAATTCTCATCAAAATCTTTATTGAGGGTAAAAGTTATCAATTTGAGAACAAAGAAAATAAAATGCTTCAAGTAACATAAAAAGCAAGTGATTGTTAAGCAGAGATTATACGTGTCATTATAAATTGGCATATATTGAAACATAAGTACTGGTTTTGTCATTTGTATGAATAATGCATTAAACAGAAATAATCAAGTATATTGCAGCAATTTAAGAGGATTATTTCATTTCTTCAGGAACAGTCTCCTTATCTTGTTTTTCCCATAATTTAAAATTTGGAATGCTTTTTATTAAGATTTTTCCTAAGCCATGATTTCTTCAATTAGATATATTAATATGTCTTTTCGATAACCTGACACCTACATGCAAGGGGGAAAGTTGCCACTTAGCAAATGAAAGAAGATATGGCAAAGCATCTAAAGTGCTTTAGTTGCATACATCTTAAAAAAAAAAAAAAAAGAAAAAAAAAAGAGGGGGTGGAAAGGAGGTGGGAAGGAAAAGAGAGGGGTGAGGGAAAACCAGAGATGCTCAGAGATTGTTTTAACTTGGGCAGATGCCACCAAGGCAGCAGCAAGCGGTGGCTGTGCGAGGAACACCACAGGTGTCACATGTTCCATGGTGCAGTAGCAATGTCATGCTGCAGCAGGCTTGGTCACTTGGAAAAGCCAAAGCTACAGCCAGCAGGGCCACAATTCAGGAAAGCATATAAACTGACTGCTAAGTAAACTATTCAATGAATCATTCTTCTGTTTAAATTAACCATTTGAAACGTGCGTGTTGCTGAAGCAAGGCCTAATCATAAGCCACTCTGCATAATCTTCTTCTCTGGCTTCATGGTTCCTTTGGCCTGTACACAATAATTACATATCAGCAATTTATGTAATGAATATTCATAATTTTCTCCAAAGCTTTAAGACAGCTTTTTTTTAATTTCATTGGACAGACATGCCCCACCTCTTCCTCAGTAGTGTGCTATAGCTTACATTGGCTGTTGCAAGTAGTGTGGCTCGGTGCATGAACGGTTTCATTTTCCTATATCTCTCTTACAGGATGCTGTTGTCAGTAAGTGGAGAGAAGTTGCCAGATCTTCCTGTAATGTTTTTAGTAATCAGGGTTTCAATTATAAGTGATGTTGTTTGGTGTTTTTTTTCTCTTGAAACAGTGTACCTAAAAGTGGTCAAACACCACTTGCAAAACCCTGGCTATTGAGCCTGCTAGGTTTCACCAGATCCTGTCTGTCAGTGGGCTGAAACACTGTCCCATTGTGATCATTCTACAAAAAAACCAGCAGCTTCATAAGATTCACATATAGTGCTTTGAAACTGTATTTGTAGCTGTATGCCAGGCAAGTTATCTCTTTGTCTAAGGATACTGAATAAACTGTACGAAGCACAAGCAGCTTTGTAGGGAAGACTCTAGAACATAATGATTTCCCACCAGATTATTGGCAATTGGAGAGGGTCAAAATTCCAAATACCTGTGTAAAGATCACACATGAGGTGTATTAAATCTCTTCTTATTATGACATTTCTGAAATACTTTGGTACAGCAGATCAACATAAATGCAAATCTAAACCCACACCTTTTATGGCTCTTTTAAATTGAATGCCTAAATTGACTGAATTTTCTTTTTAAACAGAATATTATTGCTGAACATGAAATCCGTAACATTTCCTGTGCTGCACAAGACCCCGAAGACCTTTCTACATTTGCGTACATCACTAAAGACTTGAAGACTAATCACCACTACTGCCATGTATTCACTGCATTTGATGTGGTCAGTTTATAGAAGATACTTCATTTAATAGTTCTTTGTAACAGTAATAGCTATTTAATTCTGTTTAAACGTTCTCAGGATATATGTGATTAAGGTATCGTTCATTTACCACATGAAAAGTCTAATCTACTGTGGGATACCAAAAAGACATTTCTATAGAAGAGCAAAGATTTTGATATCTCATTTCCCATCTGAAATAACTCACCTCAGCTGTTGACTGTAAACTTAGCGAGTAGCTTTTCATACAAGTCTTCACAAGTAATTCTTATAGCCTAAGCCAGAGCCAATTATAGCCAAATAAATCAGAAAAGGATCCATGTGCTCAGTCCTGCAACCAGGTAGGTTCAGGAACTAGATTATACTGTGTTTGCAGGGCATCCTGCATTTTTCACTGCATTGTACTGGCTGTGCAGACAGGGAAGGATGGGTATGGTGACATCCAGCTTTTTGGGTTTTTACCCTCATGTGTCTGTCCCATGCCCCCCAACAAGGGGTCAGAGGGTTGGAGACTTCCTTGAGAGGGTCCTTTGAGCCTGGACACATCCCATCTTCTTGAAGCAGATGTGATCTGCTGTTTGGACCAGGTCAGATATCACCACTGTGTTTTCTTCAGATTTCTTTTTTCTTTTAAACTGGAAGAGAGTAGTTTTCAATTACATTTTAGGAAGAAATTATTCACTATGAGGTGGTGTGACCCTGGAACAGGTTGCCTACAGAGGCTGTGGCTGCCCCATCCCTGAAAATGTTCAAAGCCAGGCTTGATGGGGTTTTGAGCAACCTGATCTAATGGAAGGTGTCCCTGCCCATGGCAGGAGGGCTTGGAACTGCTGTTCCATGACTTCTAGTGTTTCAGTGTTAAGCTAGATCAGTCCAAATAACTCAAGCATCTCTCTAAGTATTGTTTAGACTTTTTTTTACTGAATAAACTTGAAGACTGAAGCTGCTTCTGCAAACATGTAGAGGTTCTATGAGAAGTTTAGTATTTACTTTAACCAAAGAAGTGAAACAGATCTGACAGAGGCCACACAGGTAGCTAATTACATATCTCAAGAGATCCTAGGAATATTTGAAATCTGAAAGATTTGAAGTATCTGTAACAACAGAGATTATTATTTGCTGGTCCCACTTTTCTGTTCTGTTATCTCTGCCATGTCAGGGGGAGTTTTAGTCTGACAAATAATGCAGATACAGGATTTGGTGAAATTTTATTTTAGCAGCACCTTTACCTTTTAAAAAAGATTGCCTGCATTTGAAAACAGCAAATTAATTCTTGAATTCTTATTTCTTTGTTCCAGTCTTTTGCCTACGTATACCAAAATGTTATTTCAGCACAAGTCCTTACAGCTCCTATTATTTTCAATGAAAATTACTAAGTTCTTCCAATATGCTTCTCAGATGAGGATGCACAAACTATGACTGTTATTATATATGTGTGTGTGTGTATATA